TACCCTTAATCCCGACACCCTAGCCCAATTTGCACTCCCGACCCCTTACACCCTTACCCGTAAGCAAAAACCCTGAATAACACCAGATGTAGCCCCGTCATAAGTGCAAGCCTTAGTGCTTTACCCCTGACTTCAAACCCGAAACTTTACTCACATGAGTTTCTATGAGCTTGTAAGTAATTTCCCCCGAAACCCTTTCGGGCTGAGGAGCGGTTTGAGGTACCGGACTTGGGACATTCGACGTCGCAGCTCAGGGTCTGCGGCTTCGGGGTTGTTGAGACTCAGTAAGGAGATTAGGGGTCTAGGGTATAGGACGTGGTAGTTTGAGCATTAGAGGTTTAGGATGCAATCGTCTACTGTTTCAGGGTTTGGGTCGTAGTGGGGGGGGACAGCTTTATGAGTCCGGGCAGAGGTAAGCTTCTGTCTAACATATGGGTCCTTAATATTCAGGACTAATCCCTACGTCCTAGATTGAACCTTAAACTAGGGTTCCGGGATTCACAGCCCTTTGGCACTATGAGGCGATACTGCTCCTACGAATTCTTCAACCCTCTTCAGGGTTTAGTGTTTCGGGCACCGAAGCCCTAGAACACTGTCACCCCTGCATCCGTAGACGCGGAAAGCCCCCCAATGTTGGGAGCATTCAGTAAGCTTCCCGATCCACAGTCTAATCAAGGGACACTGCACCCTACCTGTAATTAAGTCTCTTGCACAGCCTTCTGTCTAAAACTCTGTGAAAGACTTGAATTGAAACTTATAGGGGACCTGCATTAACAAACTACAACGTTGTTAGACTCAGTTAGACCCTCATTACACAATCACCCCCTAAACCACAAAAGTAGACACTCCCGCGGTCCCGCAGCTGTAGAGCCCCAGCCCCCTTCCAAGCTCGCTCCTCCCACAGGGAAGAGGAGCAGATGTTGGATGCTTACGGGTTCAGGACTTTTGGATGGCCTAAGGCCTGCTCCGTTTGGGCTTGCAAGCGTTCTGCCCGGGGTTTTGCAGGGTCCTTTACCAAGGTTAGCTATTAGGGTTTAATTCTGGCTTCAGGGCTTCTTTATTAGATGTACAAATGGGTTTGACCAGTTTTGAGTTGCGGGTCCTCTCGTCGAGCAATATTGAACAGCTTTTGAGCACAAAAACCTCAAAGGGAGCGGACACCATGCAAACTCGGGGGACACAGAGTGCGGGCACGAAAGACTTCAAAACAGTCGATGAGCTGCGACCGCGAAGACCACAGGAACTCCGTCGTCACCGAGAGCCCTGTAAGACTTCAAGACAGCCGTGGGAAAGCCAACACCACAAATTCGGTCGTCAGAGTCGTCACAAAGTGCTATTTAACAAAAATCGTAAAAGCTAGCGAGGCTCACATCTGCGGAGAACATCCTCAAACTCGTCGACAAAACTTCAGAAATCCTGGCGAATGTCAGCTACGGTCTCCCGTGTTCTTCCTTTGATCCTTCCCCCCCTCCAACCCGGCCTGCCATGAGCCAAAGATCCTGGTCTCGGAACTACATCCTAAACAAATACTGTTTTGGGGCTCCTTGCTACGGTTATGATCATTTTAATACACTATGCCCCAAAACCTATAGCTCTAATTGCTAAGACCAAGGAAGATCCCGACATTAAAATCCTAAAGCCTCGGCCCGATACCCTACGCCCTTGACTGTATGTTTGAATCCTGGGCTTCGTCCCAGCAGCCGTCCATGTCGGGCGACCTCCGGGAAAACACTTTTCAAGGTGCCGTTGAAGGGCTGAGGTAGGTGCTGTAGGTTTTCGGGCTGTAGATGTTTTAGGGCTTTCGGCTTTCGGGCTGTTGACATCTGTAAAGTTTAGGATGTTGAGAGGGTAGGGCTGGTCTCTAGCTTTGAAGGTTACGGCGCAGACGGGACCTAGCTGGTAAGTTCTCTGAGACTCTGGCCCCAAAGAACTTGACCTTCGAATCATGGAAACTCCCACAAGTCGAGGGTCAAAGTTTAACGGCTCTACAGCCCTAAACCGTAAACTAAACCCTAAACCCTAAACCCCTAAGCCATTTAGACCTCTGAACAACCGCTTAGATTTCTACAGGCCAGTTCACTGTTTTAAACGGCATGATGACTCCAAATACGGAGCTGCCAAGGCTGCTGGATTAGGGCTTTTTTTTTTTTTTTAGGGTTTCCGGGTTTAGCGATTACAGACTCAATTCAATTAGGCTTAAACCAAGCGCCCTACAGTAACCTGGTCGCTTGAACCTCTGGATAACCTGAATTTTCCAACATGGCCTGGGCTTCCGCTCACAAAGCTCGAAGACGCGCACAGCAGCTCCAACTGCCTCGCAAAGACTTCGACACGGAGCGTAGGGCTTCACTTAAACCGTAAACCATATTTCGGAGCTGAAGGTTCGACTTTTGTCGGGTTGTTCAGAATCACTTTAGTGTTTGGTGTGAAATACTTGGGGCTAGCGGCTTCAAGAAAGTATCTACAATTCATAAAGGCTGCAAGCTTCTGTTGGATCCGGAGTCCGGCTGTTAGGCTTTAGATTGGAAGGATGTCCACGACATTGCAACAACTCCAAGACCAGGAAGTCTTGCAGACAGGACCCTCAGGGTCAGCACACCGGCGAGCTGGAAGTGACGCTTAAGCTATAGAAGCACAGTTCTCGGACTGATTCAATGCAGCGCCCAAATTAATGCACTAAACAACCTACTGGCAACGTGCCAACTAAAACCTCAAAACCCAGCCACCAACGTACAAATGAATGTATGAGTCTATAACCTATGAATACATAAACATGAGTACGTATGTATGTATGCAGGTAACTATGTATGTACGAAATGCAGCATTCCCGACCCCATGCCGATGAGAGCAGCTCCCCTGCACAGAATAGCTTGCTTATGCTGCTTTGGAGTTTCGGGCTTCAGGGTTGTTGAGGCTTTTGGCATAGAGCAGGGGCGAAGTATCGGCTGAGCTGCGCTAAACCCTAAAAAGCAGCTACTCACAACCTTCGCTGTCAGGCACTACTCTGCCTCTGCGCTCAATATGAAACACGACGGTCGGCCGCACTATGTCCTAGGGGGAGCTTGGAAAAAGAGCACGAAAAGGCGAACCTCAACTCATGTACTGCATGCTACTTCCTTGGGACGCACATGGAACGGATCCCCCCCCACACACAGTACGGAAGCCTGAATAGTAAGACCAGTGTTTGGGGGCTTTACAGCTTCCGGTAGCGGTCCTGCACCATGTTGCTGTAGAAGTCACCCAGGGTGGAAAAGTTCGAGTTCAGAGTCTGGAGGTAGAACCTTTGGGGACGTTAGGGGGCTCCGGGGCTCAGGATCTGGGGATTCAGGGTTTAGGTTTAAGGGTTTAGTGTTTAGGGTTTAGGGTTTAGGGCTTAGGGCGGGGTTTAGAGAACAGAGTTTCGAGACTTGGGCATAAGTGCTTGGGGCCTCAGGGCCTTCTTCCTAGTCCAAAAAAACATAGCCAGCAATACTATCCTAATCAGTTCCGCACTGGACATCTTCCTGTAGTTTATATAAGCTCTAGCGGTTTAGGAGGCCGGAACATTTGATGCCCCAAGATCAGTCAGAGAATTCATAGCGGTTTGAGGAGCTACTGCCAAGGCTTTGCCGAATGGGCTGGGTGCGAAGCCACTCGTAGCTTTGCAGCTGAGAAGGTCTTGGAGTTTATCAGTGTGGGGGTGCAAGGCTAATGGGCAGGGGTCAGGATTTAGGGTTCCAGGTTTCGGGTTTAGGGCTATTCGGGTTGAGAGGCTTTTTTTTTCAGCTCCTGTTTCCACCTAAAGATACCGGCGAAAGGTCCATAGACTGGGTTTAGAGGCTTAAGGTTTAGGGTTTGGGGTTTAGAGTTTAGGGTTCCAGGTTTAGGAGTCGCTCAGAAGCTCTGGGGACGTAGCATCACTTTGAGAAGATGGAGTCGACCCATCAGCGAGCTCGGTGATCCTTCACTAACGGCCCAGAACTTTAAAGGATCATGGGACTTAGTGACTTCGTAAGTAGGGTTTGGACTTATAACTTAAGCCTAAGCCCCAGCCAGACCCGTGAGAAAAGCCTTACTCCGCCAGGGGGCACGAAGGACAGCAGACTCCCTGCCTCACCATCTTTTAAAGAGTTTTCGGGTAACTGCTTGGAACTTTGAACCCTGATTTTAGGGTGTGGGGCTTTATGAGGCTTTTTGATGCTTTTTTGGTGAAGGTCCCCTAACCCCTTGTGTTGACCTTTCTCTGGCTGGGTTTGGGGTGTTCAGGTTTCGGCGTTTAGGGGTTTTAAGGTTTCCCAGGGATAGCAGGTTTGTTTCCAGTTCAAGGGTTTTGTCTCGTAGGATGTGGGAACAAGGGTTTTCGGCTGTTGGGTGTTCAGGCCTTGGGCGCTGAAGCACCTTTGCGTTCTCTGGGCTTAAGGTTGAGATCTTCTCCTTGCTCGCAACATGGGGGTCCGAATTCTGGGAAATGTACGTATCTCGGGCTTCCCAATGTACTTATACTAGAAAGACACCCGAGGTCCTGTTCTATTCATTCAGGTCCATGTTCCATGTCCGGCCGCAGGCTCGAAACCACCAACGCCCCAAACACAACCCCCCACGAAACTTACATGGGGCTGGTTTAGGGTTTAGGTTTACGGGTTGGTTTAGGGTGGACCCCTTAAGCCCCAAACCCTTGACTCCAACCATAATCTAAGAATACTCGTTTATGCGGTTTTAGAAGGGGAATGCAAGGGCAACCGCACGACCATACACAGATGAGCACTCAGGGACCTAAACCCCACGACAAACCGCAAATCGTACTGCGTGCGACAAAGGCCCTATCTTGATTGTTTAACCCGCCTAACTCCTCCGCACTGAAGACCCAAGCCTTCCCAGCAGCTTCATGAACCTCCAGTCTTGTATTTAGTGCATTCAATACATGCTGCAGTCCTGTAAACACAGTTGTGAAACCTCATATATCAACAATGCTGCGCTATGGAAACCAAAATTACACTATATAAGGCTATGACATCCAACTGAAAACCTATAACAAAAACACTCTGAAGCCCTCGTAGAGCCCAAGCACATCCACACTGGGCATGCGGCGTGCATCTGCCCAGACATTGCTAGCTTGCCACCATAGAAGAGCACCAAAGCCGTGACGGCCTCCAGTACTACAACTTCTTCATGTGCATCATGCTGTCAGTGTAAGTTAAGCGCTTGATAAGCTTGCGATATGGATACTTACAGGTTTAGGGTTAGATTGACTTGAAGTCTCGTGGGACATAGCAGCTTGGCTATCTCTCAGCTATAACTACCCTAAGTGCATTGGTATCCTCATAGCTACAACCTGCATGGACCATCCCGAACCTCAAAACCTTAAGAGCCCTGAACCCACGAGCTTTCGACTCCAATATCCCCGGAACCGACTGATGCATCAGGCCTCAGGCCCTCACATGTCACATCCCCCCTTCTAAACTTCAAAAACCGGAAACCCTAAGCCCGATGCCCTGAAGACGTAAAGCACTGACACCCCAAGCTCTGGATCCCGAAAGCGCGCCAACGAAGAAGCCTGGAGATTACGTAGTAGTATTTGCGTTCCCGTGGGCTCCCATCACATACTCCAAGACCTCAAATTATCCAGACCCCGACAGGAAGCCCTTAAGCATACAAAAGCAGTAAAAAGCTCCATAGGACCCTTCCAACTATTGAAGTAACCTGTAAGCCAACGGGACTACAAAACTCCTTAATCAAGCAACATGCCTTTAATTGCAAAGGGATCCTGAGTGATCCTTAGCATAATATAAACCGTGTAACGTATGTTTCGCGATGAAAGAGCTTAGCAAACTCTGGGTAGGTGTCTGATGTGGAGCCGCCTTTCTTGCTGGACGATGTCAGGAACACTCTCAATCTCCGGATGGTGCAAACCCTGAGTGACTGCCTCCAAACTAGGTGCTACATGGATAGCTAGATGGTGAAAAGCAGGCCGCCACGGTTAGCCAGATAACCTGCGGAAGCATCATCGCCGAACTGAGGTACACCAGGTAGAAGGCTGCACGGCGGTTCATGAGCCTCCTGGATAAACGGTGGAGCTTCGCAGGAATATGCTGGGTAACCTTTATTTACACAGGGATTCTCGTTATTAGGGGCAGTCTCACAAATATTGAAACGTCCCA